CATTTTGTCTAGCCCCCCCCATGGAAAAAAAAAAAGACTGAGCATTAGCAGTAGTCACGTGCAAAGGGTCGAGCCCCCCCCCCCCCCCCGCAAAAAAATTTGGCCCTAGAACTGCACCTGGTACCTGCAGGTGTTAGAATGCAGTCTAATATTGATGGAGATCAGGTAGGCTATTCTTAGGTCTCATGTCAAAAAGATTGCTCCAAAATGCTTCAAGATAAAAACCAAGATACCTTCTGGTTTGGTGGTCGTAGGTGTCTCTATCGTGAGTGGAGTATTTGTGGTAACAGCTGCAATAAAAAAATTCATTCTAATTGGTTCTCATAGTTCCAACCTGTTTTTTAATCCTGCCGTGTCAGGTAGGTACCAGTATGGAAGAAGGACACAAAAGGAGTTACAACTCTGGCAAATCAATTGCTTGATGATCATTGCTGCCCGATCAGACAAACACTAGTAAACATTCCAAAAACGCCTGATTCCTGCCTGCAGCTTAGCCGGACAAGGGGGGCCAATAATATTGTAGCGATTTTTATGGTGTATTCTGTGCAATTAACTACAACTTATCACAGTGTATGACCAGGAAACAGAAAGAAAAAATATCGAACATTAGATTTACTTTGGCCGTTTTGAATAATTTTTTAAAGATTTTGATGCCCTTTTCCATTATCCATGCATATGTTTGCAATTTTATTCTGTCACTCCAAAACATCAGTTTTCAATGTCTTTGTACAACTTGAAGTTTGGCTAAGACTGGCCAACAACATGTTGACCACCACAGGACAGTTAAGTTCACGAAAAACGAAATGTGCTGTTTCATCACAAGGAGTGATCATGAGATCTCATAAAATACCTTTTTGTGTAAATTCCACAATAAAAATGATTCAAATAAAACTCAAAATCTTACAACAACTTGGCTACCGGGTGTTTATTCCCAAAAGAAGTCCAGAAGGAAGCATTCAATAAGGGCAACAACTGCACATGAACACTTCGGGTACACAGCCTAATAAAAGCAACTGTGCAAGCATTAAATTTGTCGTCGTTGTCAGATCATACCAAGCACCAACAATGGCATGAATATTCAACTTCCTATACTACAGTACACAACGTTGTGAGGACGCAGATTACCAATGAAAAATTATGGCGATGATCATGGGGTACAAAGGGGGCTTATCGTTGTGAAACAGGTGGTGCATGGCAAGCATTCACTGCGCTCTGGCTATGGACATATCAGGTATGCCAGAATTCGGTAATTGGCCAGATGTTATAGCCAGGCAGTTCAAACTCCTTCTGTGTCCTTCCTCCATGGTACTAGTAA